CTTCCAATCACAGTAAATACACACTTAAAATAACTTTCCAAGCGCAGTAAATACACACTTAATAAAGAAAAAACTTCCTAAGCAACGGTAAATAAACATTAATTGTTAAGGAATTCACTTTGATCTTTACTTGTCATTTAACTTTTTCACTACCACGTGCATAGATAAACAACTCTCCCAGTACGACGTTTATTTTTAGATACACAATAAATAAAACCAATAAGACACAAGTTTTAATATCCCATTACTTCTCTGAAACTTGTAACTGGTAAATGATTTCTTCATGGTGCTATGAAATTACACACTCAGATGGTAGCTCTGTTGGGAACGTTAATGTTTCCGTAGTAATGTTCTATAGGGAACATTTGTGTCCATGGTAATGTTATATAGGGGACATTTGTGTCCATGCTAATGTTCTATAGGGGACATTTGTGTCCATGGTAATGTTCTATAGGGGACATTTGTGTCCATGGTAATGTTCTAAAGAAAAATATTTATGTATCCATGGCAGTGTTCTATAGGGAATACTTATGTGTTCATGCTAATGTTCTAAAGAAAAATATGTATGTATCCATGGCAGTGTTCTATAGGGAATACTTATGTGTTCATGGTAATGTTCTTATTTTTTAAGTGTGTATTTACTGTTACTTAGGAAGTTTTTTAAGTGTGTATTTACTGTTACTTAGGAAGGTTTTTTAAGTGTGTATTAACTATTACTTACGAATATTTTTTAAGTGTGTATTAACTATTACTTACGAATATTCTTTAAGTGTGTATTAACTATTACTTACGAATATTTTTTAAGTGTGTATTAACTATTACTTACGAATATTCTTTAAGTGTGTATTTACTGTTACTTAGGAAGGTTTTTTAAGTGTGTATTTACTGTTGCTTGTTGAGTGGTGAAGCCATGATTATTCAACCCCACGAAAGATTGCATGTTATGATTTTTACTTTTCATCTTTATTATATGGATTTTTTTTCGTGTTTATTTTATAGGACCAAAGTAAACAAATGTGTTTCACCAGGTCTCAAAAACGTTGAAATTCCCAGGTTTATATGAAGATGTTACTGATAAGAAAAAAGTAAAAACATTTATAGTTGTAAACAAGATTGAACTATAATTGGGCCGCCATATTTACTCCACTTAGTGATCGTCTTCGTAAACATAACTTACCGACCAGTAAGAGGGATTGAACGAAAACGTGTTCTACATAATCTAACTGTTCTGTACGTTATTTTATCTTGACTCTAAAAGCAAAGATCGTTATTCTAATATTTTTAGAAATTACAGGTGGCTGATTATTCATCTAATTAATATTCTATTCACGAAAATATCGCTAACGTGTTCTCTATTTCAACATAAAATATTCACATCACGTTACTTCATTGCAACGAGACTCAATATTGACGACGTGCCTGTAACTTTGACATAGCTTCGGGACTGAAATTAAGCCTAATCATAACACATTCATTCGCGGTTGAATGTTGGATTTAAATCATTATATCACTACTTCAACTAATCGTACGTGCTATACAGCTATATGTACATGTACGCAACGTAATTACTTACCACAAAATGAGTTGGCACATCTCTCTCTCTCTGAACTATGGCCGATGGAAAAAAGAACGAAACGGAAATCTTGGTTTGTTCGTTGGTGGTGGAGCCATCAACATAGGCATTTGGTTCTTATGACTGATGTTGATCTGAGTAGGGAAACATAATGTATGAGTGAAGCTAGTGTGTAGAGACATTCGAATAACGCGATCCTAGAGTGAGATTGCGAGTTTTTTACCTACCGAGTTATAACATATATATGTATATATCTTTAGTCGTGTTGTATTCGGGTATTAAACTTTAAAGACAATATTCAAACTGTTTAAAAAGAAAAAGAAGGAACAATAAAGCACAAAAATTACGGACAGAAACTGAGTTTTCTTTCAAACTTAGTTTTACAAGATATGTTCCTGTAATATGTATTCATGATCTTGTTCAGTCTTCAACGCCAAAACTTACAATTTTTCAGACCTATTACTATCTGAAGATGACTACAAGTTATATAAAATACACTATCTGAAGATGATTACAAGTTATATAAAATACGCTATCTGAAGATGATTACAAGTTATATAAAATACGCTATCTGAAGATGATTACAAGTTATATAAAATACGCTATCTGAAGATGATTACAAGTTATATAAA